AGGAGATGGAACAGCTGAAAAAAAAAATCCATTACTAATCAGAACATGGAATGTGTTAAATATGAATCTTTGAAAAACAGGAAGCTGCTGAAAATGAATCGGAACACATAAAGACCTTGAGTATGTACCACCGAATTTAGAGACTATCTTAAGAAAAAATTTGATACATGAGACACTAATGACAAAAGACCAAGGGAATTGTGGGTTGAAATCAAGAAGATCATACATGAAGAAGCAGCAAGTCATTAAAAAGACAGGAAGAAAGATAGAAAAGACCAAACTTGATATCAGAAGAGACTCTGAAAGTTGCTCGTGATCATCAGGAATCTAAAACATCTGGAAGAAATTATGAAATAAAAGAGCTGAATAGAAATTTTCAAAAGGTAACAAGAAAAGACAAAGTATTATAATGAAATGTGCAAAGACCTGGAGTGAGAAAAGCAAAAGGTAAAAACATGCTCAACATTTCCAAATTTAAAGAACTGAAGAAAATTCAAGCCTTAAGTTTCAATATTGCAAGATTCTATGGAGAAAATGGATTCTTAGTGTGATGCTATAGAATAAACACTGGGTTGTGGTGGTTCAAATCCTATACAGGGTCAATGTGACTCAATAGCACATAAAAACAACAACAACATGGACAACATACTGAATGATTCAGTTAACATCAAAAGAAGATGGGAAGAATATATAGAGTCACTGTGTCAAACAGAGTAGATCAACATTCAGGCCTATTAGGAGATGGCATATAATCAAGAACTGATGATTTTGAAAGAATAAACCCAAGGTGCACTGAAGTCATTTAAAAAACAACAACAAGGTTTTAGGAACTGATGGGATACAAACTGAAATCTTTCAATAAACTGAAGCAGCACTGAAGGTGTTCACCAGTTTATAACAAGAAATTTGGAAGACAGCTATCTGGCCAACTGACTGGAAGAGATCCATATTCACACCTGTTTCAAAGAAAGGTGACTCAACTGAATGCAGAAATTTTCTAATACCATTATTATCACATTGTGAGGACAATTTTATTGATGATAAATTCAAAACTGATTTCAGCAGTAGTCATACAAAGTCATACGACACATACAGTAATCATACAAAAATACAAACCAGATTCAGAAGAGGACATGGAATGAGAGATATCTTTGCTGATGTCAGATGACTCTTGGTTGAAAGCAGAGAATACCAGAGAGGTGGTTGCTTGTGTTTTATTGACAATACAAAGGCATTAAACATGGCATATATTATGATTAGCATTAGGAAGAATGGGAACTTCAGAATTCTTAATTGTGCTTATGAGGAACTTGTATATAGTTATTAGGACAAAATGAGGAGGCACTAAATGATTCAAAATCAGAAAAGGTGTGTGTCAGGATTTTATCCTTTCACAATATTTATTTAATCTGTATGCTGAGCAAATTATCTGAGAAACTGCAATATATGAAAAAGAATGTGACTTCAAGCTATTTGTGCTTTATTGACTATGGATCATGACAAGTTATCATCACATCATAACATTGTGAAAAATGAATATTCCAGAACACTTGATTGTGCTGTTAAGGAACCTCTGCATAGACCATCAGGCAGCCACTCAAACAGAACAAGGGAATACTGAGCGATTTAAAATCAGGAAAAGTATGTGCCTCGGTTGTATATTTCCCAATAATTATTATACCTGTATACTGAGTAAATAATATGAGAAACTGGATCATATGAAGAAGAATGTGGCATCAGGATTGGAGAAAGATTCATTAACAACCTGTGACATGCAGATGATGCAACCTGGCTTGCTGAAAGCGAAGAGGACTTAAAATACTCATGAAGATCAAAGACTATAGCCTTCAGTGTGCATTGCACCTTAATGTAAAGAAAACAAAAATTCTCACAACTGGATCAATAAATAGCATCATGATAAATGGACAAAACATAAAAGTTGTCAAAGATTTCATTTTGCTCAGCTCCGCAATCAACACTCATGGAAGCAGCAGTCAAGAAATCAACCAGTGTATTGTATTAGGCAAATCTGCTGCACACAAGACCTCTTTAAATTGTTCAAGAACCAAGAATATCCGTTTGAGGAGTAAGGTGTGCTTTACCCAAGCTATGGCATTTTCAGTTGCTTCATAAGAATGTGAAAGACAGACAATGAATAGGGAAGTCCAAAGAAGAATTGATGCATTTGAGTTATAGTATTTCTTGGAAAGCAACATACAAAGTACCCCAGACTGCCAAAAGAACAAACAAATCTGTGTTGGAAGAACAAGAATGCAAGGATATTGAGACTTTGCCTCTCATACTTTAGACGTGTTGTCAGGAGTAACCAGTCCTAGTAGAAGGACATTATACTTGGCAATTGAAGGGTCAGCAAAAAAGTGGACGACCTCCTCAGCAAGATGACTTGGCACAGTGGCAACAGAAATGGACTCAAGTATGACAACAATTGTGAGGATGGTGCAGAACCAGGCATTCATCCTATTATAAATTCCTGTTAGGTGACCAGACAGCACCTACCAACAACTCCTATGCAGCACCCAGGTATGAGCAGCTGACCTAGGAGAAGCTGAGAGGACTAGAAAGAAGGGGATGTGAGCCATTAATAGAAATAGGGGCCAAGAGAGACGACGTATTACATTGGGCAAATCTGCTGCATGGGAACTTTTTAAAGTGTTGAGGAGCAGAGATGTCAGCTTGAGGACTAAGTTGCGCCTGACCCAAGCCATGGTATTTTCAATAACCTCATATGGATGTGAAAGCTGGACAGTGAATAAAGAAGACCATAGAAGAATTGATGCCTTTGAGTTGTGGTGTTGGAGGAGAATACTAAAAGTGCCATGGACTGCCAAAAGAACCAATAGATCTGTTTTGGAAGAAGTGCAGCCAGAGTGATCTTTGGAAGCCAAGATGGCTAAGCTTTGTCTCTCATACTTTGGACATATTGTCAGGAGGGAACAGTCACTGGAGAAGGATGTCATGCTGGGTAAGATGGAGGGTCAGAGAAAAAGAGGAAGACCCCCAACGAGATGGATCAGCCAGGTGACATCATTGATGGCGTCAAATGTGGCAGCGGTAGTGAGGTTGGCCCAGGATTTGACATTGTTTCGTTCTGCTGCGCATGGGGTCGCTATGAATCAGTTCTGACTGGATGGCACCTGACAACAACAACAACAAGAGAAAATCATGTAGGCTAGTCAACTGTTAGAAATTCTTTTAAGAACTGAGAATTTAGCGGTTGCCAAGGCAATCATAGATTAAAAACGCAAAATGAAACAAAACAGCTAAGTGTAGCTTGTTTAACTTTGAAAAGAAACTGAAACCAGAGTAACGCTGCCAGCCCTGTGTCCTATCAATTTTACCATGAAGAACTGCCCTTTGTTATTGGACCCTGCTAGTCCCTAGAGGAATTCTGATGTGGCACTGTGGGTTAATGTGCCAGACTGCAAAGCCATTTAAACTGCAAGGTTGGCAGTTCAAGCTCACCAGTTGCTCCTCTGAAACCCTATATAGGGTCACTATGGGTTGGAACCAACTTGAGGGCACTTCACAACAAGTCCCTAGAGAGGAGAACTGATTGTGTCGCTGCAGGGTAATGTGCTGACCCACAAGGTCAGTTTAAGCCGTAATATTGGTGGTTCAAACCCACCAGCCACTCCTTGGAAACCGTATACAGGGTCACTATGAGTCAGAACCAAATCAAAGCCATTTAGCAACTGCAACAACAGTCTCAATAGACTAGGGGGTAAAAGCTAAAGTTACTCCCCAGGTTAAAGCCCTACCAGGAAACCAGAAACTCTATGTTATAGTGGTAATGAACAAACCACAATGTCAATCTAGCTCAGGTTGATATAGGGCAGAATACACTCTTCTCTTTGGAAACACTGGTAAGTTTCAAGGGCATCCCTAGGCAGAATAAATTTTAGGGGTGAATTCTCTGTGGAAGAATTCCAACTGAAGGTAAAAATAATCAAAACGATCCCAAATATAACACCTGTGCTAAAACCTGTTAATAAAGACTTGGACACATATCATACTGTTTGTGACCTGGTTACATTATTTTTAGCCTTATGTATGGAGCTCTGTAGTGTAGTGGTTACAAATCCATTGTGAACTTCAAGGTCAGGAGTTCGAAACTACCAGCTGTTCTGCAGGAGAAAGATGAGCCTTTCCGCTCCCGTAAAGATTTACAGCCTCGGAAACCCTGTACAGGGTCTCTATGAGTAGAAACAGAATTCATGGCACTTAACAACAACAACAACAACAGCAAGCCTTATGTACTCAGAACAAGTTTGTCTTCACCTGGGAGAGACATCATGTACATTAGGATGAAATTTAACCAGCCCTAAGTAGACAACTGCATAAGAAACAGACAGTCGACTCCAAGATCCCAGAACAAGATCACAGAACTAGAGACAATATCATTGGACTTTATGTATTGCTTTATGCATTTCGGTGTTGGACTGGTTTTGAAATAATAGGCCAATGTATCTTAAGACTAAGACAGGTCTCACCTACCTTATTAGGCTACTATTTTATAAGCCTTTCTCTCCTTTTACACAGTCACTGACTTAGTGCAAGCCTTTAAAAATGTATCGGCCACTCTAGAACAGACCACTGGTGACACGGCCAGTACTTATCATTTGACCCGCAAGGTCGGCATTCAAACTCACCAGCCACTCCTTGGAAACCCAAGACAGACAGGGTCACTATGGGTCAGAACTGACTCGATGGCACTTAACAACAACATTGTTGTTGTGAGTGGACATTGAGTCCCACTGTAAAGATTTCCTAGTTACATAATAACCAAGTAGTTCCTTTAACGTGGCCCTACTCCACACTGTGAGTCTTGGCGTGGTGCTGTGGGATAAGCACTGGACTACTAACCACAAGATCAGTGATTCATACCCAGCAGACACACCTTGGAAACCCTATAGAAGTTTGCTATGAGTCAGAACTCACTCGATGGGACTTAACAACAACAGCAATAAATACAAACTCACTTTTTCTAAAAGGGATCACTAAAAAGGGTGTGACATAGGAAAATGTGGTAAAGAAATTAGAAGGTTCCCAGCTATTAAAAGAATCCTATTAACTCTTAGAGGTTTACCCTAAACAAGTAGTTCTCTAAAAGGAATCGTCCAATAATCCATGCAGAAAATAGCACACCAATCTAATTGTGATCCAATGAATTTTAAATAAAATCTATAATCAAGAGAAATGATACATGGGAATCTAAATTCAGATACACACAACACATGTGTTTTAAAGAGGAAACTTAATTCCATTTTAGAGTCTTAATGGAAGTCTAAAATTCATGTTAAATTTTAAAGAATGTGTTTTCTAACAACAGTTCTCCAGGTAAACACTAGAAATTATGTTCTGGCCTCTGGGATATTTCCACTCAACTGGTTCTTTTTATGTAAAACAAAAGTCTTCCTATTTTCTAGCTAATGTTGCTGGAAGACTGTGTTCCTCGTGAGACTAACCATTTTCCTCCCTTCCTGGGTGTTTTCATAGCTCTAGAGAGAAGTGGGCACTGGACTTAAATGAAACATGTAATTCCAAGTATGCCTTATGAATAAGGCTAAATATGTCTTCCTTGATGCCTTACTTAGAGTTGGTTTAGCAAAAAAAAAAAAAAAAAAGGAAAGAGTACATAAATTAGTCTGTGGAACAACCAAAACCTTAAATGCCAGAACATAAACTATGGATGCCATCAACTAGGAATTAGGACAAGTTAAAGCATCTCTGTTAGAAAACAGAAAAACTTTCTGAAGTGTGATTCCATGTGACTTCACTTGCCAGAAAAATAATCCTCCAAATCATACCTCCATACCACCAGGTGTCCAATACGTAGGAAAAAATCATTGGTGAAGATTAGCAAATAGATTTTACTGAAAGGCCATGAATGTCTGGGAACTTTGGAAATCTCTTAGCTTTAACTGATACATTTAGATCAGGGAGATAAAAGGCTTTCCCTGTCACTTAAGGAGAAAACTACTGAAGTATCAAAAAGATTGCTTGAAGATATTATTCCCCATTTGACTTTCTTCAGATCACATTAAGTGACAACAAAATTCCTTTTAGAACCTATGACATTAGGCTAATAGCACCACATCTAAACATCAAATGGCACTTGCACTGTGCCACAGTCTAGTGGCAAGGTAGAAAACTTTGGGCCTTGCCTTTTTTGACCTACTTGATATATATTGTCTCTTCTAGGCTACAGAAGTTTAGTTTGCAGATGTTGTTCCAGCAAGAATGTCAACCCATTCCTCTTTCTTTCCAGTCCTATGAAATCAGTCAAATTTCAGAGTAATGACGCTGTTCAGCTGCAAGCAGTTATTGAAGAATGACTTCCATTCCCATGTTCTGGGCTCAGTTCAACCTGAAATCCATTAAAAGAGGAGGGAATGAGACCAAGTCCCTCTCCCCTTCATGCACAAATAAGTTGTAATTAACTTGGGTTTTGACTTTGTCTTCTTGAGCTTCCCTTTAAAAATTTCTATTCAACTCTTTTACCTTCTCATTTCTTTCATTTCCTTTAGGTTCTCTGCGTTGGAGAGTAAGTTTGTCTCTTCTACCACCAATCATGATCTTTTTCTTCTTTCTTGTCTTCTTAATGACCTTTTGCCTTTTTTCTTTATGATGTTCTTGATGTCATCACATAACTCTTCAGATCTTTGGTCATTAGTGTCTAATTCATCAAATCTGTTCTTGAGAAGATCTTTAAATTCAGATCTTTCCAGAATTCTTCTTACAATGCTTGTCTCTCATATTTTGGTCATATTGTCAGAAAGGAAGTCACTGGAGAAAGACATCATGCTTGTGTAGTGGAGGATTAGTGAAAAAGAGGAATCCCTCCAACGAGATGGATTGGCACAGTGGTAGCAGCAATGGGCTCAAGTATAGCAATGCTTGTGAGGTTGGTGCAGGGCTGGGTGGTATTTCATTCTATTGAGCATAAGGTCACTATGGATCGACACTGACTCCATGGCACCTAACAACAACCTGGTTTTTTGCTCTCTACTTTTTGATAAGTATTTCACATTTTTCCTTGAGCCTTGTTTCCCCCCAAAAGATAATACACTGGACTGAAGAAAGGAGATTGGGATAGTACTCGTGTGGTACAATAGTGAATAATTGCTATCAGGACTGACTGTGATGGTCAGAAATGTAAAGGTAGATGTTTTGTAATAAAAGGAGGAAAGTGATTGATTTTTCAGTCCAGGAGCAGAGGCCCCTGGGACCATCAAGTGAGAAAAACAGAGTGCCGGACCCCACCCAGAGAAACAATGATGCCAGAAATGGAGGCAGAGAGGATGACGGGGAGAGATGCAACAGCTGGGGACTCTGGACTCAGGAAGGGAGAGGGGCTGTGTGCTGACGGACATTGGGCAGACTTGCAGGGTCTACCCTTTGGTTTTTTGATGATGTATGGAGGGGATTGTAATCATTTCAATGAAATGAACTGTGGTAGGATGAATGTAAAGCTGGTGTTCTTCCATGTAAACTATCACATAATTCACAATAAAAACTTAAAAAAAAATCTATTAGGAACTTTTCTATCCTTTTCTATGCTCTGGAATAGTTTGAGTGGAATTGATGACAGCTGTTCTCCAAATGTTTGCAAAAATTCACCGGTGACGTTGTCTGGGCCTGAACTTTTTTTGGTTGAGAATTTTTTGTTGAGCTGATTAATGTCTTCTTTTGTATAGTTTTTCTGTTCAAGTTTTCTACTTCAGTCTTTGTGAGTTTAATTATATTGTGTTTTCCTAAGTATGTATCCTACTCTAGATTTGCAAATTTGTTGAAGTATAATTCTTCATAGTACTCTGCTATTACTCTTTTTACTTTCATTAGTTCACTTGTAACATCACCCATGTGGTTTCTTATGCATGCTATCTGCATTTTCTCCTTCTATTCTTTTCTTAGATTTGCCTGTTTTTTGTCAACTTTATTCATCTTTTCAAAGAACCATCTTATTGTCCTGTTGAGTTGTTGTCTGATTTTTCTGTTTTCTATCTTGTTTATTATTTCTGTGCTAGTCTTCATTATTCCATTTCTTCTGGTTACTTTTAGTATAGTTTGCTGGTATTTTTCTAATTGCTGGAGATGTTGTCTTAATGTTTTTATTTTGGTTCTTACTTCTTTTTCGATATCTTGTAAATTATCCTTTCAGCACTGCTATTGCTGTGTCCCAAAGTTCTTGGCATATTGTGTTTTCATTCTCATTTGCTTCTAGGAATTTTTAAATTTTACCTTCTATTTGTTCAGTGACGAAATAGCTTTTAAGCAAAGTGTTATTCACTTTCCATGTGTTTGACTTTTTTCCTTGATCTTCCTATTATTGATAGCTAACTTTTAGCGTTGTGATCTGAGAATATGCTTTGTAATATTTTGATGTTTTTAAATTTAAGGAGATTTGCATTGTGACCTAACACATGGTCTATTCTCGAGAATATTCCATGTGCACTGGAAAAGAATGTGATTTGTGCTGTTGTTGGGTTGAATCCTCTATACGAATCTATGAATTCAAGTGGTTAATTGTGTAGTTTAGTTCCTTTGTGTGTTTGTTGAGTTTCGTTCTGGTTGTTCTGTCCTTTTTTGAATGTGGTATATTAAAGTTTTCCCATGATGTTGTAGTGTTGTCTATTTCTTTCTTCAATTCTGTCAGGGGTTACTTTATGTCCTTTCAGTCACTTTCACTAGGAGCATAGGTGTTTATTATGGTTATGCCCTTTTGTTCAATTGACACTTTAAACATGAGATAATGTACTTCTTTGTCTCTTATGCTAGCTTTTACCTTGAAATTTATTTTATAAGAGATTAGTATTGCCATACCAGCTCATTTTTTACTGCAATTAGCTTGGTATATAGTTTTTGTCCTTTAATTTTTAATCTATTTTTGTCTTCATATGAAATGTGTGTCTCTTGTAAACAGCATATTTAAGGACCCTGTTTTCTTATCCGATCTCCCACTCTCTGTCTCTTGACTGATGTGCTTAATCTAGTGATATTCAGTGTAATTATTGATAGATAAGAATTAATTGATGTCATTTTTTTAATTTCCTATAATGCTGCTGGTTTCTTTGTTCTGCATGGCTTGCTGTGCTGAGTTCATTTTGTGTCCTTTTTATTGTCAATTACTTCATAGTTTTATGTTTCCAAAATCGTCTTGGATTTTCCATTTCTTGACATGTTGTGATGCGTTACATTTCTCTGAGGTTACCCTATGTTTTATTTATTGCTTCCTTCTTTTAAAATAATCTGTTTTCTCCAGAATTCTACCTGACATCTTCACCACCTGGGTCTCATACTTTTCCCTTCTTTCACAATTATACTTATTCAGATCATAGACTGACTACACTGATGTCTAATTTCATTCTTGTAGTTTTGCTCTATTCTGGACTCTTCTATTTCTGGACTAAGTTCCAGGTGGTATTGCCACATATGTCAATCTCTGTTTATTGTCTTCTCTTTTGATCCTCAGTCCAAAGAACTGCTTTGGAGTATGTTTTTGCAGCACTGTCTTGACTTTTACAAAATCCTTTAATTTCTGTTTATCCTGGAATGTTCTGATTTTGACATCATATTTGATTGACAGCTTTGCTGAGTTTATAATTCTTGGTTGACAGGTTTTTTCTCTTTCAGAGTTTTCTGTATGTCTCCCCATTGCCTTCTTTATTGTATGGTTTCTGCTGAAAGACCAGAGCTGAATCTTACTGGCTTGTCTTTGTAGGTGGCATTTCTTTTTTTCCCTAGCAGTTTTTAGGATTCTTCAGTTGTCTTTGATTTTGGAGAGTTTGCTATGTTATGTATTAGTTTTCTTTTGGGTGTATCCTGCCTAGGGTTTGTTCTGCTTCTCTAATGTTTGTCTTCTTGGCTTCCAAGATGTAAGGAAAATTTTCTTCCAGTAACTTTCTGATTCTCTCTGAGGTTTTCTTTGCTTCTTCCTGTTCTGAAACTCCAATCACCCACAGGTTACTCCTCTACATGTTATCCCATATGAATCTTAGACTTTCTTCAGATTTTCTTTATTCTCTTTTCTGCTTGTTCTTTTATATAGCAGTATTGAGAAATCTGTTTTCTCTAATAAGCACTGAGAGGTCTGTCTTCTCTAATAAGCTTGCTAATTCCAACTTCCATCCCTTCAGTTCTACTCCTATGTCCTTTCAGTGTATTGTCCATTTCTGATATTTCAGTATTGATCCCCTGGACCTCTTTTTGCAGGTTTTGTGTTGTCCCCAATGCTTTATCTATTTTGTTTTATTGTTCCTATTAGGCTTTTCTGATTTCTCCCTTATTTTCCTTGACCTTTCTGTGGAACATTTGGATGCACCTCAATATCATTCTCCTGAATTGCTTTTCAGGTAATTTCAAATGTGTTTTTCACCCAATGGTCACCCTGTTCTTTACCTTTTGGTCATTTATTTGACCTATTCTGTGTTGTTTCTGCACATGAGCAGATTTTTTGTGTTGCTTTTTTAGGCATTATGGTGTTCTTGTATTTGTATTAATTAAACAATTGTATCTTGGTGTATTCCTAAGCTCCCTCCAATTGCCTCCTGATAGGTGTGATCAGGAAATGGGCTTCTCTTTTCACTGTTCTTACTGCTCAATTCAGAGTGGTCTTATTAGGAGTGGATTTTAGACACTTCTTTGATGTATTACAGTTCATATTGGTTCTTGCCCAGATGGGGGGTTTTATAGCATGTGATTGTAGCTTGGCTGTATGGCCACAATTACTAACTCTTGTTGGTTATGGTAAGAGGAGAAAGAGGTCCTCCCAAGATAGAAGGACAAAATAAGCCAGACTAAACACATAAGTCCAAAATCACCAAACCACAGAAAGATTGGAAAATATGAGTAAGACTAATTTAACTTCAAGGTCAGTAGTTCAAGCTTACCAGCTGCTTCTTGGACACCCTTAATTGGTAACTATGGGTGGGAACCAACTCAACAGCATTTAACAACAACAACAACAAATGGTCTCTTGCCTTCAAAGCCAGGTGAGAAATTTCAAGATGTTCCCGCTGTGTCTCATGGTTTGTTTTTCACTTCTTTTATTTATTTTTGTCTCCTCTCCTGAACTCCACTCAGCTTTTTCTCCATGTGAAATCCAGCCCAGGTTTGGCCTGACGCATTTTGCAAGAAACTCCTGTTGTAAGCTCATTCAGTTGACTCCTTTTCCTTCTTCAATTCTGCACCCAGAGATCTACACTTTGCAGATCTTTCCACTGTGTAGCCAAAACTTCCTTAGGTCTGGTCCCCAGAGGAGAGATGAGTAGACAGAGCAAAAAAGAATGAAAAAGAAATAATAAGAAAAGGTATTCTCACACCTTTATCTCTGCAGATGTGTCAGTTTTCTGCAATGGGAGTGCACTCTTAAATGTCTGTCTGCTCACTCCCATTCAAAATGGTTGTGGTAGACATGTTGGCCACCCCAAATCAGAAGCCACATCCTTTCTTGCTTCTACTTCAAATCTTACTCCTGGTAAGCACTCGATCCACTTATTATCCCTTTATCTGAAGTTCAGAGTTCTGGGACTGTCCTGTGAATTTGTTTCATTTGGCTTTTGTATTTTACTGATTGGGTTCTGTATTGCTTTTCTGTTTAGTCCACAATCAAGCCATGTCTCCTGGATTTTTATGACTGTTTTTTGGTCAATATTATGATTGTTATATTCCCAACTCTATTTTAATATCTTCCTACAATTTACTTGAATTATGAAGTGTATAAATAACTTATAGATCATAATTTAATCCTTTTGAGCATATTCATCTAGAGATAGGTAAGTAAGCTAATATCAGGGACTGATAAATAACTGTTTATATTTTATTACTAGTGTAGGCCAGACTTAGTATGGTTTTTAATGTTTGTCATGTAATATTACTTTGAAGATGGAGACCATCAGATCTTTAGTAGTCCGAGAGTGTGTCAAATGCTATACTGAAAACTTGGAGAGTGTAATGAAAGTGATGGCCCAAAGCAGGCCTTGAAGTGAATTCCTCTGATTTCTTTCTAATGATGCTTTAGGAACAAGACATATAGATTTGGCATTGACACATTTTAATATTCTATATACTAGGTTAGATATTGATCTCTCAGATTATAATTACATCATTCACTTAATATTTAATTCAAAACCTAATTTGTGAATAAAATGATTTAACACTTATAAAAATAAAATTTGGAAAATTAGGTTAATGATATAAAATTTAGGTAATGTATGTTCTTTGATTACATAAATGCATTTTGACCATGGCATTAGTGACAATGGGGATATTCCAACTTTCCTTCATGACACACTGCTCGAAAAGAGTCTTGGGATGTCACAGGATAATATCGCCATTTACATCTAAATTCAACAGTATCTCCTGATTTGGAATATACTTTTTCATCATATTTCCATCGTAACTCTATGTTACGTATTTCCATCTCGTGTTTTGATATTACACATGCATCTGAAAGTAGATAAACACAAATTATCAGCATATACAACAACAAAATTTTAGAAGATAACAAACAAGGCAGATGTACTATATGGATCCTCTACAACAAAGATAAAAGAGACAAAGCAAAACATGAATAGATAAAAATTCTGCCATCCTAAACAACAGAAGAAAGGTCAGAGTGGTGGATGGAATGCTTGCTGAAAGGAAAAGCTGAAGAGGAAAAGTGAGAGAGGTAAACTGACTTGTGAGGCTCCACCATCTTGTGAGCAGGTTTTCCCCTAGAGGGAGCTCTGGCAGAGCAGATTTGCATGGGTTATGGAAAAGGTGAGATTTTTTTTCTTTTTCCCCATGTTCCTCTGGTGACCAGAGTGTAACCAGCTCCTACCCTCAACTGCCTCCAGCACAAACCCTGCTTTCTAAGAATTCAGAGCTGTGTGGTTGGAAGCCGTGCTAGTGTGAGGTGAAGGCTGACTGCTCCATTTAGATGTGCCACTTAGGTACCTGGATTCAAGTGGGCTTGGCTCCAGGCCTACAGAATCCACTGAGTCATCAGACAAGCATTTAACTCGTCAACCTGTCTCCAGCTTCTCTGTGATGCTAACAGACACTGAAACAAGGACCATCAAGGGTCCCCACACACTACTTCCAGCTTGAATGCCCTGAACATAGAACTAAATGCCCTGCAACAGAAGAATGGCTAAATCAACTTTATTATATACACACAATGGAATACATCAAAATGTTGAGAAATATTGATGAATCTGGGGAATACCTTACAACATGTCTGAAACTGGAGAACAATCACAAAAGGATGAACATTGTATGAGTTCAATGTTGTAAAAAGTTAAGAAAAGGTTTTCTTGACAAAAGAAACAGTCTATGATGATTGCAGGGGGATGTACTGGGAAGGGAGATTATTCATGGGCTAGGGAGTAGACACAAGTTAACATGGATAGCAGAGCAGGCAGCATACAACAAGAGAGACATTAGCAGATAAAAGATGAAGGTAGCGGGAGGTACAGGGAGAAGTGCAATTTTTAAAGTGAATAAAGGTAAATAATGAAACTGTTGGTACATGGAGGGGATTGCACCACATATTAAACAAAGTGCATGGTTTGCTGAATATAGAACTGATGACTGCACTGTAAACCTTCACTCAATTCACAATAAAAAGCTAAAAAAAAAAAGTCTTCTTTCTGCCCTCTTCTCCTCTCTCTTTTCTTCTACCTCCTGCCTTCTCTCTCTGGCAGAGGTCACCTTCCTCTCTCTCACCCTGAATAAAAGTCTCTAGATGGGCAAAAAAAAAAAGCTAAAAAAAAAAAAAGCAAGCCCAAAAGACATATTTTCATAGACCTTCAAGGACTTCAAGTTGAATGTTTGATATGGATTTAAGCATTCTTCTCTAAATCTTTCCTGTCCCTTTGAAAAATCAGCATATATATTTAAATATGGAGTCTTGGTGTGGCATTATAGGATAAGCACTGGACTGTGAAACACAAGACTGGCAGCTCAAGCCCACCAGTTGCTCCTTGGAAGCCCTCTACAGCATCGATTTTATGTCGGAACCAACTTGACCTCACTTAACAACATATTTATTGTTAAAATACTAAATCTAACTAAACTAACTGATTGCCGTCAGATCAATTTTGGATCATTGATTAGAATCCTGTGGTACACAACAGAACTGCTTTATAGGGATCTTGTGTAAAATATTTCTGGAAACACATCACCAGGGCTTTTTTTTTGCACAGCACTCATTGGTGGATTCAAACAACCAGCCCTCAAATTAGTAGATGAATGCAAGTCATTTGGTCACCTAGTGACCTTAAATTGGCAAATAATGCAAACATGGCACATTACGCACAACGAGTGATAACTAAACTTATTATCAGAGAAACATAACGTGAGTTGTTATATTAAAATGTTTTGTATTTTTAAAATGCTCATATGCAGCGTTTCAATAAGAAAACATACTTCCTGTGAAACTTTACATCCTCACATATTAATAATGGAATGTGCTATGGAGCAGTTCTACTCTGTAATGTATGGAGTTACACTAAGTAAGAATTTACTCAACAGCCAAATGTTTTGTTTTATTCATATGTAGAGGTTAGGTGGTCAACTCAACAATGTTTTGTTATTTCCTAAATAATACATTATAAACAGCAATACATAATGTCCATTACTCTAATTTTTCCAGGATTAAAGCAAATGTTGATGTACTTACTTAAACATTTTGGTGGTTGTGACCACTCTCCATTCATGCATGTTACACTTTTGTTACCCTGAAGTGTATAGAAGGACTGGCATTGATACTGAACTGATGATCCTGGAGCATATTCATCTAATAGGAACGAAGTGATATCTCCATTTTCAATAGGTGGAGGAGCCCCACATTTTCTTTCAGAATCTAAAATATATTATTATTTGATTTATTGAGAGATGTGATCAATATATAGATTAAATCAAGACAAATACAAACTAAGCATAAAACGTAAAATTGAGATTAGTGGTTCTCATGAAGTTGTTATTGTTGTCATTGTCCTCATGAAGTTGTTAAACAAAGTTTTATCATCAAATATGATGCTCAGTGTATGTACAGTAATTACTTAAATCATTTCTATTTAAAATGTGATGAAAGTCAATTTACTAGTTGGGTAAAATGAAAGTAAAATATACACTCTTTAGTTGAAGTATCAAAATGGCAATAGAAGTCATAAGTGTGGTTGTATGTTTATATTTTATTTCAATCACAACCACTGGATACAAAATTTACAAAACACATATACTAAACGGCAATGCAAAGGAGTCAAAATGAAATTCTTTAAAAAATTCTAGAAACCTACAAGATAAGCAAGACAATGGAAATAGGAAGAAGAAACAGAAAACAAACAAAATAATTAACAAAATACCAAAATATGTCTTAACTTATCAATACTATTTAAATATAGATGGACCAAATATACTAATTTAAACAGTGAGAATAAGTAGGTGAATAAGAATAAAATCCAGCAAGCGGGGAAAGGATCAGAGCAGCCACAGATGCCTGACAGAGCGGCAGAGATAGAGGTGTGGACATTCTTTTTTGTTGTTGTTATTTTTCATTGGTCCCTTGCTGTCTGTGTACCTCCATTCTGGTGACTATAGGGGTACCTGAGCTGGTGGACACCCCAGCCCCATCCTCGGAGGGTTCTACTATGCATGCGCACAGATCTCCTCAAAATTTAAAGAGACAGTTTCCACTTAAAACCAAATGGCCGACAGATACTCAGCCAAAGAACAGGACTTGAACTTTTGTTGTTTGCTTTTTGTTCTGTTTTTTAACACGGGAAAGAGAAGGACAGGGCTGTAGGGAGGTTAAGAGAGCTCATATTAGGCTACAGATTACTTTTTTGTTTTTTAATTTTTAAAAAGTAAATTTTTTTTCTTTTTATTTTCTTCCTTCTTTTTCTTCTCTCCCTCCTCTATCTTTTCTGTGAGTTGAGACTTATTTTTCTTGTTGGTGTTTTTTAGGTTTTTTTTTTTTGATGGTATTGTTTTGCTGTTATATGCTCCCCCTTCTGCCTTTGGAGGACTCTTTGTCTCCCTATATTACACAAGAAGAGTCAGCAACTGCTACCATACAACCAACCTACAATCACACCCTATAAAACACTAAAACTCAGGTAAGAACCAATAACAACTGCTATATAGCAGGGAAACAGACAACACCTGTGAAAGTTACTCTGAGTTAAACAATAAGAAGAATGAAAAGGGAAGCCCACATCCTGATCACATCTTCCTGGAAGCAATCA